TGAGGTTGTGGAATCTCAATCCTTGGAGGTTTTTAGGACCTGGGATGCTATAGTTGGGGATGGTCATGCCTTGAGCAGGAAACTGGGCTAGGTGATATCCAAAGTCCATTCCAACTCTCATTTTCTGTGATTCTATGAATAATACTTGATTTTAATTTGGCACAACTTTAGGAAGGACAGTTTTGGGCCAGCCAAGGAAAATGTTTTTTACTGAGGATCATGAACAAAATGAACATACAAGTTTACTGTCGTCTTCTACTCAAGACCCAATTTCAGATGCCGCTTCTATGCCATCTTCACCCATGGGTCACTACCAGGGGTTTGGACACACTGTGACACCTCTGACTACACCCACAGCTACCATATCCGACGGCATTTATAACACAATTGCTGCTGAAGAGAATGAGGATTCCCCTGTTACTGAATACAGTACAGCAGAGAAGCCTTTAGACAAAAGTTAAGCCTATCTCCTCTTGCGTGCTAAGGAATTTGAATCCTTTCCTGCCATGTTTTGTGATATAGACCATTGTATATGGAAATAGTGTCAGTGGTTGGGACAAACTGCAGCAGAGCATGTGGTTTGGAATCTCGGGTCTAAATACTGAATCTGTAACTGATTTGAGCCCATTGTACTACCTTAATATAAAACACACAGTTTGAAATGTCTCTGTACATACTTCAGCACTCTAAGGAGTTGCTTCTTATTTAAAAGGCTCGTTAGTGGATATGAAAGACAGTATTGTACTGAAATTAAACTGACATGAATTCAAAAGACATCTAAAAACAAGGACTCTGTTTTTCACATGCATGGAATGTGGGTAGTGCTAATAAGCAGAAAGTTTAAGAATGTAATTGCACAAATGAATAATGCTGACTTTTGTTACTTTTTCCTGTAAAACAGGCACCCAAGAAATGTAGGGGGGGTAATGGGGGGGAAGATTACTACCCCTCTACCCCCTCCTTTCCCTTTTACATAAACATATACAACTAAAACCCTTTCATGAAGATGTACCCTCTTTCCAATGCAGAGTGCTGATCTGGCTGAGCATCAGCCTGAGGCCCCTGCAAAGCTTATCTGCTCCCTATGAACTCAGGACCCAAAACTACCCCCCCTGAGCATGACAGTACTACACATCTTGCATTTTTTCCTTTGTAAAAGAAACAAAAAGTCTGAGCAGAGGAGCTCAGAAATGCCCATATTTTAAAACTGCTCACCAGGGGACATAATCTACATGTGGCTTCCATTTCTCCTATCCTTAAAATGGGAATAGGACTTTCCTAACTTCATGTATGTATGGGGAAAAATAATTAGTTTTTGTAAAATTTGCCTAGTGGGAAAAGCATTCAATGAGATTAAAAGAAAAGTTTCTTTTTTCAAACTTGAAGCTGCAGTAAGCTCTTAAACATTTCTTTAAACAATCTTAACCATGTTAAAGAAGAATATTTCCCAAGAGTGGGTCTGTAGTAGTTTGTATTCAGAGATGTGTGCCTCTCTTTGGTCTAGGTTCAAATAAAATAAACAAATTGTCCCCTCACGGAGGAGGAGAGATTCACTAAGGGAGAAGCAAATAAATCTGGAGTTGCTAAGTTTAGACTTCAGAACAAAATAAGTACACTTCTATCAAAGCACTAAGGATTTCCCCCCCCAAAATGAAGAGGGGTGTATTTTTGTACCCCAGTAACAAGCTTATATTTGTATTGCATGCTTGCCGTCCAACATTCATATAGGGAAAAAAAAATAGAGCTGCATTGACACTTTTTAAAGTAGCATCTACAACATTCCACCAAGAAATACTTGCAACTTAACTTATTTCCTTATCCGCATTGATAACCCTTTACGGGACAAAACTTAATTGTAATGTTTGGCTCATCATAAAAGTGCTTTTTGCAGTACTAGTGTTATGTAAATATATTTTGCCTTATTCACTAGGCTGCATATTTTATAGTTAAAATTGGATATGTACTTAACTGTATCTGAAGTTGGCAGAAAAGAGCAAATCATACTTTCAGTTTTGTTAGTTCATTGTCATTATTGTAAATAAGCAAATAAATTTTAATTTAAACTTGTTTGTTCTCTCCTGTATTTACTGTGTTTTATAAAGTAATTGTGGATGATGACCTCAAGCTGCAGCATGGGAAATTTAAGTTGGAGGTCAAGAGGAACTTTTGAGTGGTCAAGCATTGGAACAGGCTACCTAGAGAACTGGAATCTCGAGCCTTGGAAGCTTTCAACAGCAGGTTGGATAGACACTTGGCTGGGATGGTTTAGCCAGGGATGATCTTGCCTTGAGCAAGAGTGGGGCTGGACTAGCTGATCCTGTGAGCCTACGATCTGACGAATTTCATAAGAATAGCCATTTGCCGCCTTTAAAAAAAAGATGTCTTAAGTAAAAAAAAAATCCAAGCTCTTGTTTCAGCCTTCCTGCTGAACTGATGCCTAGAAAAAAATTGGCAAAAAGACTTCTCTCCACTTGCATTCATAAATGCAGTAGTACCTATTTATGTATTAATTCATTAAAGCAGGTTCTCCTGCTTTGGTACCCTAGAGTGCCTTGAGATTTTTTACAGGTGCTGCACTGTTGTGCACATGAAAACATAAATCCATAGTGTTCAAAACACTCTGACTTGTTGTAATCAGAGTTCTTTGCAACAGAAGAATTGCTCTATTATTTTCCGATAGTCAAAAAATGAGCAAAAACTAAGAGCTGGCATTTTCTGAGGGGTGCTTTGAGTTTTAAAATGTTGAGAACCATCATCTTAAAGCATACTAGTTTCTGCCTCAAGGCCTGAGAAAACAGAAATTGTAACCTGCCCATAAACTGTGGATCAAGCAGTGTTCTCTTCTAGAATTTGTTTCAGCCAAAGAGAATGTCTTAGCAGATCCTTTTGAACCTTCTGGATTCCAGTTCAAACATCAGTTTCTATAAGCAGTTTTCTGTGTATACAGAGGCATTTGCTGAAGGAGCAAGGTCACCAGCCATGGCGTAGGTCAAACGCAACACTTTGGTCCAACAGCATTTGTTGGGATCACACAAAATCTGCCCAAAATCTTACACATAGGATATGTCCAGATGAGTGCAGCATGCGGTGCTGCAGACACGTTTGCAGCACCACATACCGCACATTCAGTTGTTCTCCGCACTGGGAGGGAGCAGAGATATCCAGTGGTCAAAAAACCCTGCACGCATGCACACGCGCGTGCGCAGGGAGACAGCACATACTACTCAAAACTAGAGCCTGGCCTGCCAGAGCCACACTCCAGCTGCTGGCCAGGCTCCAAGCAGCAAGATTGCCACTGCTGCAGCCCCAAGAGGCCCCAGATAAGGTTAGCTTGCCCCAGGTGGGCAGCTTACACCCCACCTGGGGTAAAGCTGCCAGAGAGCATGTGGCACAGACATTTCTCAGGGATAACTAGTGGTGACACGAGGTGTGCAACTGCTGGTTGTCCCTAGGGAACCTAATGTCCATGCTTGTGTGGATACAGCCATAGTGGTTGCCATTTGGCTCAACAGGGGTGAAATGTCTTGCATATTATTTACATTGGAAAAAAAATGAAGTACCCACATACCTCATGGTGCACACCACAAGACTCCTGGCTCCTTTCTCCTAATTATTTGCAGTTTTGGCTCTATTGCAGCATTCGGTCTATTATTCTGGAGTTAGGACCATTTTTTTCTGCACCATAAGGACATATCTTAGGTAAAACAACCTATCAAATGCCAGCTGCTATTTTCACTGTTCTCCTATATGAAGCACTGATTTCAGTAGAACATGCCCTGCTGTCAAGTAGCTTCACTAGAGATTCTTGCACTACAGGTAGTTCAGGACAGTTTTAATACACTCATGCCTAGTTTTATTGCATCATCATTTAATAATGCTCTACTGGAGCTGAAAATGAACATCTGGTAGATACCCACATTGACTAGATTAACTTTCCAGACAGTAGATGAATAATATCAGGGTTCTTCCACCAGTTTCATGTACTTCTATTGTACCCATGACAATTTTGAGAGACAGGGAAATACAGATGAGGAAAATGAAGTGAAACTTGTGAAAGTCAGAGAACCAGAAATTGTATGGACTCTGTCAGAACCACAAAGCTAACTGCACACTTGCTTTGACTTTGCCTACAACTGAACTCACTCAAAATCTTGCCAAGCTTCTGACACTGCAACAAGAAAGGGTAGTACAGATTCCTAACAGCGAACCCAAACAGAAATTGAGCTCATACTATTGGCAGCTCCAGATGATGAGGAAATGTTCAGAGATCTCTACCAACCAAGCGTATGACAATGTCAGGAGTAGTGCTAAGCTGCATGAAAAAAAGAGTTTAATACAAGGATCAGTGGGAACACATGGAATTTGGGGTGGGAGATGGAAGAGAATCTCAAATATTGTTCCAGAATGACACTGGTATGCATTGTTATTTATATCAGGGGTTTTCAACCTTTTTTAGTCCTCACGCAGCTGGATGGGGGCAGCGGTGCGCAGCAGAACATTGAGTGGCAGTGCGGGGTGGTGGATGATGGCAACGGCAGCTGCCACTGCCTGAAAACTCCCCTCCCCCCCAAGCATCCAACTGGCCAAGCAGTGCCTGTGCAGCCCGCAGAGGGGTGCCACTGCCCTTGCCCCACCCTGGCCCTGCTCCTGCGAGGCGGGGGCACAGGGTGGTGGGTGCCAGTGCTCCATCCCCACCCGCCTGTGTGTACCCCCTAGGGCCTTCCCAAGTATCCCCGCATACTCCCCAGTTGACAACCCCTGACCTATAGTCATCACTGCTTGATATGGCTGCTTGCATAAAAATTAAACTGACGAGAACTGCAGGTATCCTGTGTGCCTTTGTACAGAGGCCAGTGATGACCTGGTACTTAAAGAAAAGAAAAACAGAAATAGAGTTAAGTGATCAACTCTACTTGTAACAAGAATTATTGCAGTAGTGAGGATGTAATATAACAGATTACTAGATGTCCTGTTAAATGGTATGCAGTTCATCAATAAGCTCTTGTCAAAATAAAAATTTATTAACTGAATTGCCATTATTAAACATATCATTTTGGGTTCAGTACATAAGATTTAGATTTTATGCTCATGCTATGCAAGACATCTCAAATGCTGAGCAATCCAACTAGTATGCATAGATAATACATAAATTATTTTCTTTCAACTTCCAGATGACTATTCTTCACTCTTTTACTGTGATGCTGACATTGCTTTTATGGTGCTGAATACTGAGCACAAGTTCCTCTCCTTGCTTAACTGGGATGGGTTTATCTAGAACAACTGCAGCTTGTTTCCAATGGGAGGACTCATCTGATGTATCCAAACTAGTATCTTCATCTAGATGTATATGATACCAAAATGGAATGGCAGTGACTTGACCAGACTTGCAAATTTGCACCTTAATAAAAGGAAAAGGATATTAAGACATAAATAAGATTGAGAGGTTGAAAAGAGTTAAAATTACTTAAATTATTGTAATTGTGGTAGTGTTTGGGACAGGAAGAAAATAAAATAATTTAAAATTTAAATCTGCTCCTAAGAGGCCTGCAGCTATGTGTATTTTGTACTGTAAGTTTCAACCAAGGTAATCAAGTCTGAACATTTCTGACAGGAAGATAAGCACGCTTTTGAATGTATGGACTCAACTTACCTTTATCTCTCTAGTGGAGCTGTTCAAATAAGGGTTCATGAAGTCAAGTCTTAGGAGCTCCACTGGCTTGCTTAAGGGCACACATGGTAATGTAGAGAGATCCAAATACACACGAACAGGCACCTGCAGAGGAGTACACCACACTTTCAGGTTTAAGCAGCAACTTCAAAATAATTCACTTCTGAGTGACTTAACCTTTTAAGAACCTGACTTTCATAAGACAAGTTATTTAGGGAATAAATATTTAGTCGTTCTTCTGTACATTATACTATTAACTTTTATCCCTCCTTTCAGACCAAAATTTACTTTTGTCCTATCTGAAAGGAGATGTCTTCTTCAGTCTTGACCAATGTTTAGGCACAGAGCATAAGTTACAAAAAAATGTACATTATGTTAAATTAATCCAACACCATTCAGCTTCTAGAACTTATTTGTATTGTGTCCTTCTGCTCCTCGGTTGGCTATTTGCAGGTTTTGATAACTATGCTTGATACTGAAGCAGCCACCAACTTCATACCTTGAACTGGTTGATAAACGGTGCTATATTAAACCCAAGCGTGGGTTCTGTCCCTTGAACAGCACTCTCAAGTAATAAAGACTGTGATGCTACAAGCATCCCATACATCAACACATACTGTGGGAATATTTTCCCTCCAGAATGAAGTAAACACCTGTTAAAAGAAAAGAAAAGAAAAGGGGTTTTTGTTTTTTTGTTTGTTTGTTTGTTTTATTATTACTGCTTCTGCACGTTTCCAATTCCAAAGAAATAAGCTACTGTAAGGTACTGAATTCAAGAAGATCACTTACACTAGCATTTGAGTTCCATTATTTATAAGGGCTCCCCTGAACTGGAGTCTAATATTCATGTCACCTGAATTTTTGGCAACTTGTTTATTTGGAAGACTGATTATAAATATTTTGACTTTCTATCATCTAACACTGTTAGAACCAATGAACCAACCAATGAAACCTGCACATCAGTCTGGCAGGTATACAAGGAACTGGAAGAGCTAGAGAAAGGTAGTCCCTGCATAAATGCTTTCCCGGAATTAGAATGAGGACCTAAAATGTGTATATTGAATGGTGAAGGTGAAGGTGACATGGGTTATTCAAGTATAAATGGCTGGTTTATTTGTAACAGTGAGTCCCAAGCCAGTGCTGAAGGAGTGGTAAAAAAGGCTATGAGTAAAACTGGAAGATGATGATGGAACAGATCACTGGAACAACAGTTAAGAAAGCAAATCTCACCTGTAAGAGTCGATCCACTGTGTAAAACAAAAGTGGCCAGCTGTTCATTCTGGCCAATGCCAATTAGATATAAATCAGACAGATTTATGATGCCAACAATGCTGCTTTTTTAAAATATTTAACAAAAACATTTTTACCAATACAAAATACAGACTTATAGGATCAGATCCCATTCCCCCTAGATGAGTATCTGAAAAACAGCTCATAAACAAAGCCTTCCTGCTCTTTCCTTTTTTGATTTAAGGTTACTTTATGACAGCAAGTTGCAAATGCAGGTACATGTTTTTTTTTTTTTTTTTACAGGGAGGTGAGCAGGGTGGAACAGGACTGCACTTATGTATTTAATTGATGGAGTAGCACCTTGGTCATAGAATGAGTGTTTTACGTATGCCAGAAATCTGGGAGACTGCTTCACTCCACAGCCACAAATCACAGCACTGTTAAGAAAAACAGCATCAAGGAAAATATCTGAGTTCTTCAAAACAAAAAAAATTCAGAATCTGCATGGTCTCCTTTTCTATAGCTGCTAGCAAGAAGAATTTATGGGAAAAATTTACTTCTTTTTTTAAACACACTTTCACAGCTCGTGAAAACTGAAATGAATACACACGACAAAAAATAAAAACTAACTCCCTTTTTCTTCCCAAGGCAAGCAAATCACCACAAGGGTTAACTCACTAAAATCATCATCGTCCTGGATGGATGGATGCTACTCAGCTCTACCAGAAAAAGCTCCCCCCCTCATCAAAAAAGCAACACAACACAAAATGTTCCCCCTATTCAGTTCCATAACTTTTTACATTCTTTTCTGTGTGCCCTCCTCCTTGATACTTTCAGATATGTTACATCTTAGTTTCTCTCTTGCTTTGTTGCTTTATTTCAGCTTGTTCTACCTTTTTCTTATTCTCTGCCTCTGACCATTCCAGCTCCTATGGTATCAGCCACTTAATTTCAGTCTCTTCTAATCACAACCAAGCAGCCTGAAACAGAACATTCTTGGCTTTTTCTTCAACTTGGGAGTCTCTTAAATTTCAAACTGTTTCAGCTATTGTCAAGATACAATTGTCCTTATGGCTTCTGGCATTCTGAGCAATAATATTTCCCTTAGTAATTCTTTTCATTGTCAGAAAATGTTTCTATAAAAAGTCAAATTCACAGCTCTTATTTCTAAATATGATATATTAAATAGATTCTGTATTATATTTAATACATTAGATCCTTGTGAGGTTTGCAATAGTTACAAAAGACATTTTCTCACTATCAGAAAACTATCAAATGACATACCTGGATATTGCTGCCTTTTCCATCACCTCCTGCTGGATTAAGCCAGAAGCTTCTATGACATCCAGGATTATAATACTCCACAATTTATCAGATTTGGGTCTCTGCAACACCGAACTCTCATCCGTTAAGTGGCTGAGCCAAAACTCTAATGTTTCTTTTGGGAAATGGTTGGCTTCTGAAATTGTATTAAGGGCTATTTGGTGCTGCTCTTTTTCAACAGAACTGTAAGCTTTCACTGGCCCAAGTTTACCTGCAATTATTGGCAGTATTGAAAAGCCCTCAGACACATCTAAAATATAAAAAGGGTCAGTGCTTGTCTGCAAGGAATCCTTGTTTCGACTCTCCCCGAGGTTCCTTTCACTGCCATCAACATCCATTGACTGCAGTTCTGTATTTGAGGTAAAAGATGACAATACTTTGCTAATGGCAGCTTTAAAGCATTCATGATAAGCCACATTGTTTAGTAAAGCAATTTCAGTTGATTCCAGCACACATTCATGACCCACTCTATCTAGTTTGCTGGTAGTCTGAAGACTAGCAAGGGCGCTACACAGCTCAGCCTCATTGCCCAAAGCTGGCATATTTTCCCTTTCAACATCCATTCTGCACTCTGAAGGGGAAACAGAAATCTTCTGGATCCTCAGATAGCAGTCCTGGCAGCTTACTTCCAGCATCACAACGTCTCCAGGTTTCCTGGAATAATCTGATCAAAACAGTACCAAAAAAGGAACATTAACAACTTTATTAAAACAACCATTATAGCTAAGTGTCCCCTGCTTTTGCTCTAAAGGGGGAACATCAATCCTGTTTCTTGACAAGTTGATACTGAGTCTGCATAAAATAAATTGACTCTCGACCTGTAATAGAGGTATATGGCATTCCTAAAACACAGGCTCCACCATGCAGTTCCCCATGTGTTGAGGGGAGCTGGCCCATTCTAATCTGAGCAACAAGTTAATACTAGGCCCTGCAGCTTTTTTGGAAGTGAAAGTGGATGCAGGTCACATTGTAACGCTCTCCCAGCCCCAAATGGCTTGCAACATGCATTAACATGATCCTTTAAATTTACATGCACGATGGAACCTTTTAATCTCAAATAACGTGTGAAAGAAAGATAACTACCTCTGGCAACAGCAAACCTTAAACCCAAGATTTTACTGGGCAAAGTTAACTAACATTTAACATTTTTCTATTTTCTTCATATTTCCCGAGATTAAATGTGAATGTATGAATAATTCCATGAAGAGCCATAACTGGAATTTCTAGAAGTACATGCTATATGTTCAAAATGAATGACAGACAGCATGATGTTTTCTACTGAACATGTGGTGACAGAGCTGCCAAAGCTACCTTAATGACACTCAGTTCTCTCCCCCGACTCCCCACATCCCCAAACAGGAAGAAAACACTGTCTCTGAGCAAAAGTGGAAAGAGACATAGGGAAGAAAAGGTCTTGCTAATCAATAATGAAGTAAAGGCTCGGAGGACTCGAGGAAAAAACAGTCTGGCCTGGCTAGTAATGCTTCTTCCTCTTCCCCATATATGTTCCCTTATCACAGGGAAAATTGGTTACTAGAAGACAAAAAACAAAAATAAAATCCACAAGACATACCAAGAAGGCCCTGAACAGGGTAGACTGCCTGTTCCCAGCAAGTTTCCTCACTGGGACTTGTAGACAGAGTGTGTTCATCATCAAGGTGCAGCACAAACCACACCACAACAGCATCCAAAAGTCCTCCTCGAGTGATGGGTACGCTGATCTTGCAAGGTTTTCTAGTAGCAAGATTTTTCAGTTCCTGACCAAGAATGAGAAAGGAAAAAAGAAAAATGTGGCAGTTTTCCCTTTACCAAAATCAGCAGTCTGTTTATCATAGGTAATTGGCCATTACTCAAAATCCATATGGGCTTTAATGAGAGTTGTAAGAGATGCTTAGCACCCCAATAATCAGTCCAAATTCATAAACTAGAAGGATACTAATGGCTATGAGCTTTTTTCAAAAATCATCGAAACAAAGACTTGAAGTAAGGCACTATAAAGAATAGGCCTGTTCATTCAACTGACTAGCAAAACAAGCTTACTCAGCATAGCTAAATTTCTGAGTTATAATTTAGAAAAGCAAAAACATAAAGGCTTCGATTTAAGTATGCAGTTAAACCTCAACAACTCTAATGAGTCTCAAGAAGTTTGTTTATGCTAAAGCACTGGATAGGGATGCTTTCGAGAACTAAAAACTAATAAAAATGAAACAAAAAAATTATAGTACATTTGATTTCATAATTATTTGAATGGTAAAAATCTAATAGGGATTTCATAGGTTCCTTTACTTGCCAGTGTGTTATTCTGTGTCCAAACATGCACATATCAATAAACCACTAATAGAAAGGAAAAATTTTTCCTGATGTTAGCAAAATGTTACATTAAAAATACTAAAATCATAGTTTACGTTAACATTTCAAACAAATTACAATTTTTTTTAAAGACTCTGCCTCAAAAGATGTGCATATAATATATCCACCAAATGCCTAAATATTAAAAAAGGAACAGGAATCAGATCACCTCCAAAGTATGATTTCTCCACCCTTCCCACCAACACTTACCAAAGGTACTTTCATAAGAATAACTAAACAGAACAAATATTTAAGTTAGGATGCAAAACTTTCATCCAGGAAATCATAAAACTCCATGAGCATCCTAAAATCCAAGTGCTAAATATAGGTTTTAAAAAGTTTCAGTCTTAACGAACGAACGAATGAACATTTGATTCCAAGATTCTGCCTAGTTCTCATAGCGCAGAGTATTTTTTTAATTTTCCTCCTGTATTCTCCAAGGGAGTTATTTTTTCAGGTTGATAAATGGGTTAGTACTATGCACAAGGCAAACACAGAATGCTGATGAAGTTCATAATGAGGCCTAAGTGCTCAAAGAAATGCTTTGTTGCTTCATCATTTCCCAAATTTCCTTAACTTCACTAGAGAATAGCAAAGTAATGAACAGGGATCCTAGTTTTTGGTTTCCCATGGGAAAACAGAGAAAAACACAGATTTTCCCCTTCACCAGAGGAAACTGTGGACTTCTCATTTTAGCGGAGAAATCCATGGATTTTGCAGTTTTGCAAAGAGGTCTCTGCAGGCTGGCAGACTTCCAGCCCCTGTGCGCACTCCCAGGGGCCAGGGGGGACCTGTGCGTGGGGTGGGGATGGGTTGCCTGCTGTGGGCTCAGGCTCCCTATTACCCTTCCCAGACCCTCCGCAACCCAGCAGGTGCAACCCGGTAGGCCAGGGCAGCATGGAGATCAGAGGCAAGCAGCCTTCCTGCACGGCTCCGCTGTTCCCTGCAGTGCTGGATTGCACCTGCTGGGCTGCAGAGGCCGGGGGGAGGGCAGGAGCTGAGCCCACATGTGCTTGCCCCATGTACAGATCTGGGGGGCACAGGTCCCTCCTGGCCCCCAGGAGTGTGCACAGTGATGGGGAAGCTGCTCCACCCTGCTCAAGCCTGCAGCAGGCAGACAGTTGGAGGTGGGTGGAGGTGGGGGTGGAGCTGGGCTCCACCGTCTTCTGTCAGGGGCAGGCGGCTGTGGACCTGGGTCCCTGGGCCCATAGCCCTAGCAGCTGGGGGCCTCCTCTGGCAGGGCTGGGTGGGGGGCGAGTGAGGGGCAGAAACAGGGCCAAGGGCTCCCAATTACTTGGGTGCCGCAAGATTTTTTTTTATTTTAAAACTATGCGAGACTAGTAATGATATGATTAGTAATGTAATGATTACTGACAGCATTTTCCCATGAGTCTTCCATTTCCCTTACATGGCTACCAACATCCAAAGCCTTTCATCTGCTTCTCTCCACCCTCCCAAATTCTTTCCTCTTCTGTAACACGCTGCTTCCCTATACATGCAAAGCTGCCTCTCTCTTTGGCTCTGTACCATTCTAGTGTGTAAGATACAAGTAAATTTCACTTTGCAATCTGTGGCCAATGTAGAGTAAGATGGGAGACAGTAAAGGGGAGACAGGAAATATCTAAGCAATGAAGAAGGAAACTAAACAAGGAAGAGAATGCTATTACTGAATGACTTCTTTGAGAAAAATGAGAGAAAGAATGAGTAAAAAAAAAAAAAAAAAAAAAT